GTATCATTAAGTCTGTCATTGAGTCAACTGGCGTGGTTTCGAATCCCCGGTTATACGTGACAAGGAGTAGGGTCGCCTGTCCAACCTCGTGGGTTTTCTCCGGGTCCTCCGGTTTCATCCCACTGCTAAAGACCCCTACGCGCAAGCGAATTATTGAAATAAAATTGAACCATATGTTAATCCCGAGATGACCTAGTTTGTGTCGAGTGGACGTTAAACCCCATTTCTCTCTCTCTCTATTGGAAATTTGTGTTAGGTTAAAATTTGTGTCCTTATTTCCGTGTGTAATATTACCTGACACCTGTAAATTACTTTGGATGTTGGTTGCTGATAAAAATTTATTTAGGTGTGGCTCTCACATATATCCTCTGTTGATCCCAAAAATCTCTAGTTGAAAGTGTTGGTCTAGACTTCTCTGGTGATCTTAAATCTGACGGATGAAATTTTTTCATAAATTTGCCAAACATTTAAATTATTACTGAATATTACCAGCTTAATTTCCCAACCACAGGTAAAATGCCCATAATTTATTTGGCTGACTTTTGTAGACGTAGATGTTGATATCAATTGAGGTGGTCTCATAACTTTATGTTTGCAGAAATACCCATAGCAAGCGTTGCAATATGCTATATCATCAATTAAAGACCAATGTGGACTTGTTTCACTTAGATTTAGTACAGGAAATTAATGTATCACAGCCAGGACAACCTATTTCATCTCCATTAAAACCAGAGATATCTTAAATAAAAGCATTCTGACATTTCGTTTTGCAAATGTTTGATTTTGATGCAGATTTAATATACATAGTAACTACTGGAACAATTTTTTCGGAATATGTATCTCCTGTTAATTGATATATTTCATCAAATCTGTGTGTTTTACCCCAGTTACCATTTTCAGTAACAGAAACTTTCTTAGTATTTTTAGTTTGGTAGGTGGATGTTACACATGATGCAATTTTTAAATCTTTAGTAAAATCAAATTTATCAAAATAGTTATTATTTCCTACTGTCATGTTACTTCCTCACATTCTTTCCATATTGGGACATCTTTACTTTTGACCCAACCATAGACTGCATATCTGTAACAAAACGAAGGAATATTCGTAATTGCTTCAGGATCTCCTTATCGTTCTGCAGTACAGGGAAATGACTTTGCTATAGAATTACCAGTTTTCAAAACACATTCTAACTTCAGTTTATTTGATTGTTTACAATAATAAACAATTGGCTGCCTTTCAAATATAGTCTGAAGATCAGGTGTTAAGGTTAAATCAAAGGACTGTTTGTTTGTATCTGACTTTATCTTATTTGTACCCATAATACTGCAGTTTCACTCAAAATAAATTCTTGTATTTGATTCATTACAAAAGAATCATCTTTTCCTGAATGGGAACATTTAAAAGTTTTAGATAAATATTTATTGGTAGATTTCAATTTATATTTCAATATAAGACTTGATGTTTTCTTTGAAAATATAATTAAAGGGCCTCCTACTACATAATCATTTATACGTGAATGGCTTATATCATTGCTTGTATTTGTACTGGTTTCTTTAGATTTAGTCTTGTTTGAATTACATGGAAGTGTCTGTTTACCTTTTGTTTTGGTGATCTTTGGTTTAACACCAACAGGTAAAAAGTCATCATCAGAATCAATAATCTGTTCTATTATATTAGTATTATTATTTAGATGTAAGCTTATTTGTTCGTCAGATTTTTGCAATACATTATTTATGTTTATTTGACCAGTCATTAACCATGAAATGATTGCAAACCGAATACTTTTCGAATGTAAAGAAAAATATGGTATAAAGTGTTTAAATGCTTGTACTTCATTTGAAATATTAATATTATTAGCCACTTGATATGTAGTTGACAAAAGAAATTTAAAAATAGCTTGTCGAAGTAAAAGTACAGATATCCTCAATATAAGAGACGGCTCACATACTGAACCGCAACTCTGTTTTGGATATAAATAACACATTTCTTGACATGCATTATGAGTGTGGCCATTTAAGTTAGGACTATGTGCTATTTGTATTTATGCCATGCTTAAATTGTTCAATAAACATGAATTATAGCCACTAATAAAGTTGTTTAAATTGAACATTAAACTATCTGGTAAAGCTAAACCTAATGTATCAATATAAATGACTTTATTAATTACTACATCATACACACGGAAAGAAAAATGATTCCCGTTGATGGCTTGCTCTCCTGTCTCAATATTGATATCTTTCCCAGCCAAATATGTGAATGTTTCACCAGTACTTGAATGGGTTAAGGATTTCACACAGAGAACAAAAACAAATTTAGTGATGTTAGGATGCTTAGCATACAGTCTGGAGCCTGTATTTTGAAGATCATGGATGGAATTTAAATAACCAACATAATCTGAGTCGGATATACACTCTTTCAGTAGCTCAATAAATTTATCAATTACTGAATCACTTAACCATCTATCACACAGCAATTTTTTTAATTCTGATACTGGCAACTGATAATTACCAGGAATTTTCGGTTTAAAAGAATTGGAATTGTTCTGAAGAATATTTTTTGAATTCAACAACCTGTTCAGGGTTGATATTGTCTATCGGTGTAAATAAGGGTTGCCATTTCAAAATGTATTTATTTTCATTTTCTAATTCTTGTCTTAAGTTTTTAGCAAAGAGTCATCATAATCAATACGACACACATAATCATTTATACGTGAATGGCTTATATCATTGCTTGTATTTGTACTGGTTTCTTTAGATTTAGTCTTGTTTGAATTACATGGAAGTGTCTGTTTACCTTTTGTTTTGGTGATCTTTGGTTTAACACCAACAGGTAAAAAGTCATCATCAGAATCAATAATCTGTTCTATTATATTAGTATTATTATTTAGATGTAAGCTTATTTGTTCGTCAGATTTTTGCAATACATTATTTATGTTTTTTTGACCAGTCATTAACCATGAAATGATTGCAAACCGAATACTTTTCGAATGTAAAGAAAAATATGGTATAAAGTGTTTAAATGCTTGTACTTCATTTGAAATATTAATATTATTAGCCACTTGATATGTAGTTGACAAAAGAAATTTAAAAATAGCTTGTCGAAGTAAAAGTACAGATATCCTCAATATAAGAGACGGCTCACATACTGAACCGCAACTCTGTTTTGGATATAAATAACACATTTCTTGACATGCATTATGAGTGTGGCCATTTAAGTTAGGACTATGTGCTATTTGTATTTATGCCATGCTTAAATTGTTCAATAAACATGAATTATAGCCACTAATAAAGTTGTTTAAATTGAACATTAAACTATCTGGTAAAGCTAAACCTAATGTATCAATATAAATGACTTTATTAATTACTACATCATACACACGGAAAGAAAAATGATTCCCGTTGATGGCTTGCTCTCCTGTCTCAATATTTATATCTTTCCCAGCCAAATATGTGAATGTTTCACCAGTACTTGAATGGGTTAAGGATTTCACACAGAGAACAAAAACAAATTTAGTGATGTTAGGATGCTTAGCATACAGTCTGGAGCCTGTATTTTGAAGATCATGGATGGAATTTAAATAACCAACATAATCTGAGTCGGATATACACTCTTTCAGTAGCTCAATAAATTTATCAATTACTGAATCACTTAACCATCTATCACACAGCAATTTTTTTAATTCTGATACTGGCAACTGATAATTACCAGGAATTTTCGGTTTAAAAGAATTGGAATTGTTCTGAAGAATATTTTTTGAATTCAACAACCTGTTCAGGGTTGATATTGTCTATCGGTGTAAATAAGGGTTGCCATTTCAAAATGTATTTATTTTCATTTTCTAATTCTTGTCTTAAGTTTTTAGCAAAGAGTCATCATAATCAATACGACACACTGTTCATGTTGTAATTAACATTCGTTATCTCACAATGCTATACTTAAAATGACCCAGTTTGTATTGAGTTGACATTTAGCTACATTTCCTTTCTGTTATGGGCTATATCTAGTCACTAGACTACTAAATACTATTTTTGTTTTACGCCCACATTTTCAGGTTTTAAAGCACAGCTATAACATGTTGATTGAAACGCTTCAAAGCGAATGCTTTTTATTTGAAACATTAAAATTATCTTCCAATTTCAGCAAAGTGACGTGCCTAAGTAGGTAAGACGCTGGCTCGCTAGCCTGGAGGTCGCGTATTCGATCCCTGCATTGGTTGAGAATGTTCATTCAGATTTTCGGGCGTGGTTCCCCATTGTCGGTGATGCAGGACGTAGGGCCTGACAAGCACAGCTGTTTAGTTTTCGGATGAAACGAAAACCCGAGGTCCCGTGTGTACATTGGCATGCACACAAAAGATCCCTTGGCAGATGGAATTCGATATAAGAGTAGGCCATAGTGCCGCTACCCGGCAAAAGTACCTCATAGCACACTGGCGTATGCCTGTCTTCATTAACCCAGAAGGAACAGAACAGTAGGACGTTAAACCCCACCTCATTTCATCTAAGTGACTTCACATTCAGCGGACAGACTGACACAACATCGGAAATCTGTTGAGTTTGGGGTTTTTATTTGAGCTACAGACCATGTTCACTAACAGCAAATTAGGTCATTACCTGGGTGGTTGACTGGATTTTAAATGAAGGAGCAGATTCCTTATCCAACCGGGTGGGTTTCCTGGGGTCCTCCGCACCCCCCCCCCTCCGGCTTCCAAATACAAACGCGTGATGAATTATTGAAATAAAATTAAATTGAATCAGGTTAGCTCTCTCTCTCTCTCTCTCTCTCTCTCTCCCTCACAGACATTGATCTCTAGAGAAAGGGAAATACCCAACTGTTTACCTCTTTAAATATACATTAGGTTGCGAGATAAATAGTCACAAGTAAAGGACCTTAATACATGGTTTTCTTTATATTGAAGTGGTATCTAAAAACGTTATAGTGTCTAATCTCCTAGAATAGGTTTTAATTGTCATAAACACATTACGTCTCGTTTTATTGCTGTTTCTTTTGTAAACGCGCGAAAATACTTGATAATGGAGAAAGCGCAGTAGACGAATTTTGATTTAATGTCAAATAGGGAGCGGGCTAGTCGTAGACGAATGAGTCGCGGCTGTGTCTGGTTATTTTGAGATATTTACTCGTCAAGATCGGTCTGTAAGTGTTTTTATTTATTATAATGGAGAATTGTTCAGGATCAGATTGATGGTTACTATTTTTCTTGTGAGTATTGATCAGTTTGGCCGGATTATTCGATTTGACTGCTTAATATTTCTACCGGTTATTATCTACTACTTTTCATGATTTTTATATTTCCAACAAGTGTTTTGAGGTAATTTTCCAACAAATGTTTTGAGGGCAGTGCTTGTGTGATTGTGATAACTGTTGGTTATGTCAGTCCTTGGATATAAAAACAGGGCTAATCACCACAGCACACTAATATATGTGTCCGAATAAAACCGAGTTCAAGGAAATGAACTGGGGCTTAACGTCCTACTGTTCTGCTCCGACTGGGCTAGCAAAGACTGTCATACGCCATACGGAGTGCTATGAGGGAAATAAATTTTGCCCGGACAGGGCCACTATGGTCTACTCTTATATCGACTTTCAACTGCCAAGGGATTTCTTTGCGTGCACGCCAATGTGTACTCTGGTTTTCGTCCCATCCGAACGACTAGACAGCTGTCCTAGTCATGTCTTGCACCACTGATGATGATATTTCTCGGCCAATGCAGGGATCGAACACGCAACCTCCGGGCTAGCGAGCCAGCGTCTTACCCACTTAGCCAACGTGGCTCCCAATATAGATTATGATCACGTTTTACGTATATCTAAACAGGAGTATTGACTTCTAGATTTAAGACAACTATATAAGTTATGGTCCTGCATGAACCAACGGCAAGGTGAAACCACGTCGAGTTAAAAAAGCTAGGCCTCCTTCAATTAGATGAACAGTAAAGTACTGAATTGGGTTGATGGAATGTGTTATTTCAATTAGTGTAGCGACAGAACAAGTTCTATGAGATCATTGTTTTATTTTACCTGCAGATTTAAAAAACCTTTGATTTCAACAACCATCTGTATGACTTTAAAGGGCGTAAATCTCGATCGAAATATTATCCAGAGTTTTGACATTACAAACACCAATGCTTGGCTGCTAATATCCAATATTTAAGACACAGTTTTAAAAAATTGAATGTAAATCAGTTTTACTAATAATAATATGTGCTCTTTGACGCATTTTAGTTCCTAAGAATAGCGATTTAGCTCCTTTAACTGTATATTTTTGGTTGTCAGTTTTAAAAAAATGAATGTAAATGAGTTGTACTAATATGTGTTTTTTGACCAATTTTCGTTCCTTAAAATAGAGATTTAGCCCCTTTAAGTGTATGTTTGGTTGTCTGTGAAATTTATATTCTAGATTTCTAACATTTATATATCGTTCAATAATAAAACAATGATCACCAAGCTAACCCGTACACTGCTGATACATTTAGTGTCAGAAGACCACAATTACCTAAACCATTCCTTATATTATCTGTATGTTTTAGGAACAGAAAAGCAGAATGCTGATTCAAAAATCGCACCTAATAATCATCGTCTTGTGTATTATCTCTGGAATATCAATCACAGGTAAGCAACTGATATTTTAAAATCACATATCAGTCAATCTCCGCTTGTACGTGGCAAGGAATAGATTAACCTTTTCAACTCCTGGGTTTTCTTCGGCTTCCTCCCACCTAAAATTGAAATAAAACTGAACAATAAGTTAGTCTCGAAATGAACTAACTTGTGTCGAGTGTGCGTTAAACCCCGTTCATTTTCTCGATCTCTCCATTTCATTCATTTGTGAAATGTGAAATTATTTTGACTGTTTTGGTCAACATACTAAATACTGTTATTCTTTTTCTATCGTCATCTGTAATGGTAAGGGTACACCCACACACATCGGAATGTCTATGTCAATACAGTAAAGGTAGTGCTTCGAATAACTTCTAAGGTGTTATGGTCGATTCTTGAGACCAATATATGTTGCACTTCATCAATTAGAAATGAGTATAGTGTTATGATCATCTTTGCAGATACGGCATTCAGTACCACATGTTATGGATCTGAGCCAGTCTGTACAACACATATAATGCAGTGTAAACGACCCTTGGTTGTATATATTACCAATGCTAACTATGGATTCAGGCCCAATTGTTCAGCTGTGGGTATTTCCAACTGTGACGACACCGCGTGCTGTAGAAGTCAGGATAACGACTGCATTTTACCCTTTAACCGATCAGATGTCGATGTGTTGCACCGGAACTGTTCTGGAAATACAACATGTAAATTGCCAGGGTCTTTGACTGATCAGATGTGTGATAAAGACAGAGATTTGCGATACAGCTCCTACAGTCAAATAGAATTTGAATGTGTTATAAAAGGTAAGTGCAGGCTGAATATCTCAGGTGTCATGGGACTTAAACATACATTATGCAAGAGTTAAATCTGCCTATTGCAGGTATTTCTTTAGACCTGAAATGTGTTCTAAATTATTAATTACACATTAATTAACTTATCCAGGTCATCATCAACTCTCGATGGCATCGGATTTATCCGATATTAAATAGATTAGAACAGTTCAGCCAAATTTTGATGTAAGCTAAAAATGAAGGAGCGAGACTTAGCTTCGAACAACCAGTACGGTGGTTGAAATTATTGCACACGTCTTGTCAAACCTTCAAAGGCTAATATCGTCGCTCACAATAGAGTAATTTGAATGAACGTTTCAAATTATTAATTTTACATGAACTATTTTCGAACTAATATAGCAAAAATGGCTAGCTCTTTATCTAAATCTTACATAATGTATCTGTAAGCTTCTGATTGTATTGCCATTCTCTAAAATATAACACAATCCTAAATAGATGACTAGTACATGTAATTTTTTGGATTATCCATGTTCCCTGTAAATCATCAGATGAAGTTGTCTTGTTTTTGACATTTTCGAAAGCTCCAGAAACTACTACTCTAGATCACCTAGTCACGGCTATAATATACGCTCACTAAATAGTCGACAGATATGCTTATGATTCAGACAGTTTGGGACACTAGAGTGATCTGTAGATTCAGGTGGGTTCTTGTGATCCACGATCTGCATCAACTAACAATTCACGTTGTTGTTCAGTGTCAATTTGGGACGCTAGAGTGACCTATAGATTCGGTGGGTTCTTGTGGTCCACGATCTGCATCAACCAACAGTTCATGTTGTTGTTCAGTGTCGATTAGATATTTATTGGCTAGATCTGTTTCTTAAGGGTAAACTACTATATAGACTTTTTAAAAGAGACAATTTTTTATAAACAATTTTAATTGTAAATATATATATCATCGTATTTTTAATTTTTAAATATTTGTGTACATGATGTTGTGATTTTTATTTTGAATCGTTTAATATACTATGATATTTGTTTTTATTTCTGTACATGAATTCTGTGTGGTACTATATATTTTGTCTCATACTAGCTATTCACCATGTTTGGCGAAATATAGCCCGGTTGGAGCTAGCGTGACATAATTTCATTCATTTTATTTCGTAAGGCCTTCTGCAGATTCCGCCATTCTCGATCAGATGTTAATAAGGTTAGGGCATGAGGGTTTGGGTTAGGGTTAGGACTATGTCCATGGGGTTGGGGTTAGCGCTAGCCATGTTCGTATATATTGTGACCTTTGACCACATCTGAAGATGGCCCTGAGAAATAGATCCAACCACTTTTATTATATTACAGGACAAACACCAACAACCACGCCCTCAATTGCCACAACATCAATATCACCAACAACTCCATTAACTCTAGCTTCCACAACAGAGAACTCGACAACGGAAACAACTAAAGCCAATGATACATTAACACGCAACAGTTCCTCGGGTTTCAGTAGTATTCCCCCTACTTATATCACAGAGAACTCGACAACGGAAACAACACGCAGCAGTTCCTCGGTATTAAGTACTACTCCTAATATTAAACAATCCAACATACTACCCAACGGGGCCACTGTTGATGATGAAAGAGTAACCAATTCAGGTAGGATCATAATTTATATTTGTCTTAAATCTAGAAGTCAGTACTTCTGTTTAGATGTACACAAAACTTGCTCATAATCTCTATCTGGCTGCATTTGGTTTGGAGAACGTTTTATGTACATGATAGTTATGAGTCAAATTGTTTAAAACAGTTTATGAAATGCTTGATGCCTCATTTTCGCTAAAATATTAAATTTCTTAAGTCTTAATCCACGCTACGTTTTGATTATTTGTAGCAACCTGGGTTGGTAAAACCTACAATATGGTTATCACGTTTTTTAGGTTTTTTTCTATTTCAGATTTAAAGTTAATTATAGGAGCTGCTGTTGGTGGTCTTCTAGTGATTTTTATTATTATTATTGCCGCTGTCAATATCTATAGGTGGTATGTAGTCTTTATATATTTTTTTTCAATCCGGACACGGTGATGTGGAATTTTTGATACTCTCAATCAGATATTTTCTATAATCATGTCATTTTACGTGTAATATCCTGTGGCTGTGATATATTCAATATTCACGTCACTGTGATATCGGTTACAGTGCAATATTCGTGTCATTGCTCTATCGGTTATAGTGTAATACTCGTGTCAACGTGCTATCGGTTATAGTGCAATATGTCACTGTGGTATTGTTTATCCATGCTACTGCCGTATCTTATGTATTGCAATATTAGTGTCACTGTGACATTGTTTATGATACAGTATTCATGTTACCACGGTAGTGCGTTCAGCAGTTTCATCAATATTATATTGGTACTATTTTTGTGATGAATACATTCCGACTTCCTTTCTAAAATATGGTGAAATTATATTGATGATATCAATACAGTTTTATTATTTAGGCATATCTCACTACGCATTGACCATATTAATTAAAGCCACTAACAATAAAAGTGGCAAATGTCATACCAATGAGGATTACATTACAAAAAAGAAAGATCTAATTGAAAATAAACTGAAATGGTGCTTTTCTTCAACTATCTTTATAATTTCATTTATCCCTTTTTGTTTATGGGCCGAGAAAGTTCATCGGGATATTCCGACGTGGTTTGTCGGTGGTGCAGAACGGAGGGGCTGACAAGGACAGCTGTCTAGTTATTCGGATGAGACGAAAAACCGAGGTGCCGTGAATACATTATCGTGCATGTAAAATATCCCTTGGTCATAGTGCCGCTGCCCAGTCAAAATTTCTCTCATAGTACAATCTATGGCGTATGCCCGTCTTCATTAGCGCAGTCGGAACAGAACAGCAGTTCCTAAAACCCCATTTCATTTTTTTTTGTTTGTGGCGATACAAATGGTGCAGCTTTGGTTGCTCATTTTTTATTTATCTTTTTATTGGAAGTGAAAAATCGCGTAAACGAATTTAAACTGTGAAACACCATATAGGACAAAATACGTCCCCCCCCCCAATCCCCATAACATGAGAATGGTTCTAGCTAGCTCATGTGTTTGTTGATACCAAAGACATTAAAATATCTTATATATCTTCAACAGGAAACGACGGGCGAGAAAAAACGAAAGTAGCTCTTCAAATAGTAAGAAATACAACAATCATCATTCAAAGAGAGACTATGGTGCTTCAAACGGTTCTTACGATCAACATTATTCTACTATAAGATCTCTGGAAGGAGGGTTATCAACTCCGCCTTTACCACCTGCACCAACACGCGGGATACTTCGAGGTCCTAAAAGACATTCCGCGTTTTCTTACCAAGCCTGAATGTATTGCTGACTGTGTTACCCTAAGAGGATGTTACACACACACACACACCCACACACCCACACACCTTGACTTTTAATTAAACATATTTAACATGATTCGTCCTTAACAATTACGGCTTTTTCTTCAGATATCAAAACAATTTAATAGTGTAACATTTAATTAATTCTACCTTCAAGAACTTTGAAATCATGATGGATTTATTATATAAAATCGCTGTTCAGTGTGTGCAATAGGAGTCAATGGTGAACGCCAAAAAATGGAATAATACTGAAAATCAAGAAGTGGTTTATTGACTATATTATAATATAAGTCCCGGGATCAAAACAAGACGTAGTTAAAAGCAAGGAGGGAAATTCATTTCATCCAAATCGTATGTCAGATCAAAACCCCTAACTTTACAAGATGGTGGTGTACTTGTCCCCGTCTATTCAAAAGGACAAGGGAGGTTGTTCGGCCAAATGGTTAGCGCGTGCGCGTTGTATCATAAGGTATGTAATTGAGTCAACTGGCGTGTCGATTACCCGGCTGTACGTGACAAGGTTTAGGGTCACCTGTCCAACCTTGTGAGTTTCCTCCCACTGCAAAAGAAATAAAATTGAACCATGTATTGGACCCGAAATGACCCGTTTTGCTCTCTCTCTCTCTCTCTGTCTCTCTCTCTCTCTCCAGGACAATAGTTATGCTAGGTTTCCACTAACACGATTCGTGCTCTGATTGAAATCGTGATTTTAATCGCGGAGTAATAGAAGTGATCCTATCAGGTCTTATCATATATTGAGGTCAGTGTTGATCGTATCGAAACATATCCTAATATATCTGCACGTAGCAGATCGTGGACTCAATAGGGACAATCCTGTCGTAACGCATCGCACGACAGTGGGAACCTAGCATGTGATGTGTTCATTTTGGGACGTAAACAGTTTTGTATTGGTTATTATATTCTCCTCTATGGAGAAAATGTATCGAGTGGAGTATAGATATGTGATTATTTGACGTGTGTATGAGTTGTTGATTCTATTGTTAAATATGTAATGTAAAACTAGGTTTAGAAGGCCATTATAACATACATCACGGTGAGCGGTCGAATCATTGTTACTTTATGCAATGTAAAACTAGGTTTAGAAGGTCATTATGACTATTGAAACAAACATCACACTGAGCGGTCGAATCATTGTATTGACAGGGTATTAAATTGTTGTTACCATTCAACATACTTCAAATAAATAAATGACATTTGGCATGTTGTTTAACTTGGTGTGCATATTATCGATTCGACATACTCATATATAATAGTTTTGAAGCCCCGATGGTATGGTTGGCCTATTGGTAGAGGATGTCGCCCTTCGAGTTCTAACTGGCTAGTCAACACAATTTATCTGTGATTGATATAACTCACGGTGGATGCGGACATTGAACACCAAGATCAACAAGCACGGGGGTTCATTGACTAGGAACAGCGTGTAGTCCTTCGGTTGGGGTGAACAACGAGGCCCGGTTACACGTGGCTGTTGTGAAAAGTTGGTAACGCAACTGTCCGGGAAATAATTAAGACCCATGTCTTTTGTGTGAAACTATAACTTGGGCAACAGTACATAATTACATAGGGGGGTTGGATGGCTGAATAGTTAGCGTGTGCGCGCTGTATCATAAAGTCTGTCATTTAGTCAACTGGCGTGTTTTTGCAAACCCGGTTGTACGTGACAAGGAGTAGGTTCGCCGGTACAACCTTGTGGGTTTTCTGCGGGTCCTCCAGTTTCGTCCCACTGCTAAAGACCCCTACGCGCAAACGAATTATTGAAATAAAATTAAATCATATGTTAGTCCCGAAATGAATAAGTTTGTGTCAAGTGGACGTTAAACCCCATCTCTCTCTCTCTCTCTCTCTCTCTCTGTCTCTCTCTCTCTCTCTTACACACACACACACACACACACACACACACACACACACACAGAATTACATATTATTATATCTTAAATAAAATAAAATAGAGGACAAAGTCATGAGTCACTAAAGAAAAGAGCTTGCTGGAAGCCCAACAACACATTGGTGTTCTTCTTTCATTCCCTTACAGGCAGTTTCTAAGAACACTGATTTATTTCTAGGTCACAAAAAAACGTTTTCGGTGTATTTTTAATAGAGAAACAAAAGATACATTTAACAAGTTTCTAGGATTTAATGAATGTTGTGATATAACGCTATCATATTTTCAATCCAATAAAGGCGACAATGGCTCACATCATGACAATCTAATATTCACGTGGCAGGGTGTGTGGGCGGATCTTGTACCATGACTGACACTTACGCTATCAATCATTGTATATTTGACCGCCATTTGAAAGAATTATTTACGACATTCCGGTATTGAGCTGAGTTAGTGTTAAATGATAAGGCCAGCTCAATTTGTCGTCATAGTTAACAAGGTCAGTGCTAATACCAACGCTAACCCTAACCCTAACCCTGGACCTAGCCACAATGGTTAACCTAAGCTACAATGACGTGCCCTAACCTTATTTACATTTCAGCGATCTTGACAAAAATTGAGCTGGCTTTACGAATAGATTCAACCATTGAGGTGGGGGTATTTGTACATTTTATTATTATAGATAAATAAAGAGAGATAACTCTATATGCACTACATGCGGCAATCTATGATTGATAATAAAACATACGACTGGAAAATTTAAATGTTCCTAAATATTATCGTCTATAATATCTTAATTATTTATTCTTAACATCTGCATCAATTGAATAGCACGGAGGCGTCTTTAAAATGGGGTTTTAGCGTCCCGCAATTCTCCACCAATTTGGGGAGCCACGCTGGCTAAGTGAGTAAACATTAGATCGCTAGTCTGAAAGTCGTGAGTTCGATCCCGGTGTTGGCCGAGAAAGTTCATCGGGATTTTTCGGCATGGTTTCCGTCGTCAGTGGTGCAGGACTGACGGCCACACAAGGACAGCTGTCTAGTCGTTCGGATGGTGCAAAAACCTAGGTCTCGTGTACGCATCTGCGTGCATGTCAATGATCCCTTGACAGCTAAAATTCGATATAAGAATAGACCGTAGTGCCGTTGCCCGGGCAAACTTTCCCTCACGGCCCACTGTTTGCCCAGTCGGAGCAGAACAGTAGAACGTTAAACGTCATTTCATTTCATTTGATTTATAATATGTAAATATTTATATTAGTGTTAGTAAAAAGAACTTCCGACTGTCCAACCTCGTGGGTTTTTTGTGGGTCCTCAGGTTTCCTCCCACTGATAAAGACCCCTACGCCCAAGCGAATTATTAAAATAAGTTGAACCATATGTTTGTCCCGAAATGACCTAGTTTGTGTCCAGTGTACGTTAAACCCCATCTCTCTCTCTCTCTCTCTCTCTGTCTCTCTCACCTGTTAAATCTCCATGCGTCTCGGAGTACATCTGTGCACATAAAAGAGGGAATAATAGACATGTTAACCAACGTAACATGATTCTAAAAGTAACATAGTATTTACAGCAACATTACGTTACATAATGTAAAACAGACGAGTCGAACTTCCGATAGATTTATCCTATTATATTGTCACGTTTATCAGAAATATATTATATATATAATTAGTTTTGTTAGGAGTTCTGTTGTCTATTTGACGTATAATTAATTTGTATGTCGTGTGTGAAGTCTCTTCCAGGTATAATTAGGTTTGTTACTTTTGTTAAACGAAAAAGTCAAGTCTATAAATTATTATTAGTAGACGTGAAAATAAGCCCTACTTAACGTGGGGAAAATTAAAGGACAATATAATTAGAAATAGTCCGTACATTCCCTTGTTTTTATGCATTCTGTGCTTAAAAAAAAAATGGCAATGCACGGATTTTTTCTATTTTTCTCGCGTTCTCTTATTTAGTGACCGTCAATTATTTTTTTGAATTGTCAGACATCCTCCAACAGTATTATGTAACAACTGTTGGTCTTCGAACGAATTATTATTGAGCAGAAATTGGCCAGTGTATATGTTATCACTCATCACTTCAGACAGTTATAACTCGTGTTTTCTTTTTGTGTTCGTCAGTTCCCGTTCCTGAAATCTTCATTACGCATCTATCGTAGATGATCTCTTGTGTTAAAATAGTTTATTTAGAACGTGTTTAACCAGTTCTATCACCTATGTGATAATGACTGACACCGATATTGTCCTTTAATGGCAGACGACTGGTTGTGTTACACAATTTACTAGAAATTATAATTCAGAATAAAATTGTACAGACTTTTTAGACGAGACGAGGCTAACATGTAGGTGGGTTGGATGACCTAATGGTTAGCACGTGCGCTGTATCATAAGGTCTGTCATTGAGACAGCAGGAGTGGTTTCAGTTCAATTCCCCGGTTTCCTCCCACTGCTAAAGACCCCTACGCGCAAGCGAATTATTGAAATAAAAAAATTGAATCATGTGTTTATCCCGAAATGACCTAGTTTTGTCGAGTGGACGTTAAACTAACTCTCTCTCTCTCTCTCTTTCTCTCTCTCTCTATCTATCTCTATCTTTCGGTTCGTGCTATTTATTGAAAATTTCTACATAAATATTTACATACGTTGAATATAAAATATATAAATCTGAGTTCTTGAAACAATCTTCAGTTTATATCAATTCATCTTCCGTAAGAAATTATTTATACAAATACTTTCTGTTGCTATAGAATATCTGATATATCGTAACTTAAAGGAGCTAAATCGCTAATATTTGGAACCTAGAAATTGACACAAATGGGTCACAGCGCATATAATAATGTAATATGAATGTATATGAACTTATTTACATCCAGTTGCTTCTGCTTATGTTCGGCGAAATACGCGAAGAGTCCCAATTGAGTAGCATTTTTTGGCGTCTGGGTTTTTCTATATTGTTTACCTCGGTAGTATTCTTCCCTAGGATATATTTAGCCTCGTTCATCGAGTCGCGCTACAACAAATGGCACTCAAAAGCATTCTGACCCGCGATTCTTGTGCAATTTTTAAAATGTACATTGTGTCTTAAATATAGAATATCGGAAGCCTATCTTTTCACGGTAAGATAACAATGTCAATGTTGATTTAAATTGAACAATAAGTCGTGTTTGCAATGTCGAAGACTGTGAATGACAGAAAGTAATGAAATGTTAATACCAGTTGACTGGTTGTGTGGCACTATTTGTTGGAAATTATAAGTCTTTTGATGGGCAGACTAATTTTTAATTCGCTCGAATGCAAGCTGTGAGATTATCTATCGTTGATCTTATGATTTTAAATGCATCATTAAATGGTATATAATCAATTTGATTACATTAATCCGTGTAAAATTAGATATTACCTGGATCAAACAGTTAAAAATACAGTGTCCGAGGAATGCAGGATTGGTACTAATAAACAGAATGGAAAATGGGGTTTAACATCCCCACGACTCGTGGAATTGAGAGAAAGAGAGAGATAGATAGAGAGAGAGAGAGAGAGATGGGGTTTAACGTCCACTCGACACAAACTAGGTCATTTCGGGAATAACATATGGTTTAATTTTATTTCAATAATTCTCTTGCGCGTAGGGGTCTTTAGCAGTGGGAGGAAACCTGAGGACCCACAGAAAACCCACGAGGTTGGACAGTCGACCCTACTCCTTGACACGTACAACCGGGGATTCGAAACCACGCCAGTTGACTCAATGACAGGCCTTATGAATAATTTAAAGAATGGTTGGTACTAATGAATAGTGTTCGAAAAAAAAAAAACAGAATGAGAAATGGGGTTTAACGACCCTCGACTTGGGGTATTAGGCAACTTTTAGAATGAGCGTAAGTAATATATTAGATACAAATATACTAAGGATATGTATAAAAAATAGGGGAGTTGGATGGCCGAATGGTTATCGCGTGTGCGTTGTATTATAAGGTCTGTCACTGGGTCAACTGGCGTTGTTTCGATTCCCCGGTTGTACGTGACAAGGAGTAGGGTCGCCTGTCCAACCTCGTGGGTTTTCTCCGGGTTCTCCAGTTTTCCACCCACTCAAGAAGACCCCTACCAGCAAGCTCAAGTTTATTGAAATAAAATTAAACCATGTGTTAGTCCAAAAATGAACTAGTTTGTGTCAAGTGGACATTAAACCCCATCTCTCTATCTCTCTTGTATACAAAATATTATAATTGTAATGGTTTAAAATTGAGAAAATAAACATCTTATACGTCACTAGCGATGGTTGAACGGGTAGAGAACCGGTCGGATAAACTATTTAAAATGAGATGAAATAAAATGAAATGGGGTTTAACGTCCTACTGTTCTGTTACGGCCTACTCATATATCGAATTCCAACTGCCAAGGGATCTTTTACGTGCACGCCAATATGTACACGGGGCCTCGGTTTTTCGTCCCATTCGAACGACTAGACAGCTGTCCTTGTCAGGCCCTCCGTCCTGCATCAATCACTGACAAGGGGGAAACCACGCCGGAAAATCTAGATGAACTTTCTCGGCCAATGCAGGGATCGAACACCCGACCCCCAGGCTAGCGAGCCACTTACCCACGTGATCCCCCATTTAAAATGAAGATCGTTGGAGTATCTCATATCAACATATAATATAATGGTTGAACGGGTAAACTATTCAAAATATTTAAATTTAAATATCTGTTCTCATATTGTATCGTTTTCTTTCCTTTAAAGAAATAATGATTACTCCGTAATAACTAAATAAATAAACAGTTATAAATTTCCCACCCCTGTAATATAATCCCGTCTGATGAAATATATCTATAAACGACACTACACTTGTACATGGTCTCGTTATGCAGAAATCCCTACACCGGATGTCAACACTAAACCCCTTTATTGAGGATAGCGATAAGCTCGGGTGTGTTTGAGTATACAGGACAGGAAATTACCCATTCATAGCAACTCATAAATAATCAACCATTCAATCATATCCTTTACAATCCCCGGCTTCAACTCATTCATAAGTTTTACCCACGTGGCTAATACTCGTAATCTGTGCACTGTGCAGTATTTTATATTTTATGGACTGACTAGATTTATATGCATATTTAAATGATATTTAATGTTTTAAAACATTGATAGAGAAGGTTTGTCGTATTTTTTTTCGATAGAGTTAATGAATAAAACCCACTGTTTAACAAACTAACACATGGGTCTTGCAGATATCGGAATTACTGAATCCAAAGCGCAAGGTGTAGACAGTTGAATAACTGCACTGATTGCATCGTGTATACGCAATACGCAATCTATAATTGTTTTATTATATGATACTGACTGAAGGATCCTTTTAAAACATCAGTATTATTTATAATGTGTCTATCTGTTCTTGGGTGTAATGCACAGGTGTGTATGTGGATATCAACTTAAGAATTATCTGGAACGATCGTGTACTAAAGCGGTCCATGATCAACTTAGGATTAATAAATAAAGGAACTCTATGATCTTGGGAAATTAAACCCAGTGTACTGCCTAAAAGTGGATTTTAAATGTAGTTCAGGATTCAAGGGGAATCTACATTTAAATAAATTAAAAAGACTGTCGTGTAATGTTTACTTCCAATGCAGCGAACACAATGTGAAAGCGCTGCTGGGACTTATTGAATATTTTATCGATTTTCCCAAATAAATTTGGATTAAAATTTACGTAAATAGTGCATTTATGTGTTAAAGGATATACATACAATCTAATAAAGTTTGGATGTGGGAATAATACTGCGGATGCAAATATTATAAATCTCGTGAGTGCATCTCTACATGACGTAAACAAATTTAACGCGCGCATATTAGTGTGTCAAGGGGTTATTAAAGGATATGGGTGTTTTATGACACTGAACACCTTTAATCGTAAACTCGCCCAGTTTGTGAAGAAGGAGATACGCATGACTCATTATGAATCAGATTAATATGATAACGGCATAGTAACAATATTTTTGTTATTTAATAGGTGGATCGTTCTGTATTGAGGATAATAAAAAAAATATTCTTTTTATTATTAATAAATACCTCAAAAATGTATAACCCAACAAGGATAAGATTTATAAGAAATTAAGCATTTTGATTTATTAAATAAATAATACATTGCAGTGGATGATGGATAATTATTACTTTATAAAGTGACAACAATGAATTTTATCGACACGGCATTTTACAGAACGAACATCGAAGTCATTTCATAGGATTATTGTACGCAATTCACACATCGGATTATTTGACTAAATTTGACGCCAAGTGATCTTCAGCCTCTGCTCATATCAAATTTTTATGGTGATAAATTATAAAATTATTACAATTAGCAGTTAGATACAAAAGATTTGTTCTTCTTTGGAATGTGTATACAATAACAGATTATTTGTACGCGATAACCGTGCCGAGGATTAAATAACGTATATCATAACTAATGGTTTGTTTTGAACGACGTTGGTTCACATGATGTTCAGCAGTGATTTAGATATCAGTATCTGTGTATACATAATGTTTTGCAGTTGGAATAGAGAGTTACGTTATAAATAATCCACTGTGTTGATTTGAAAGATGTTCATTAAAATGATGTTGTGATTTGGATATGGATACATATTGTACGCTTTATATTAAGCATAATGCTTTGCAGTTCGAATAGCTTTGCATTATAAAAATAATGTTTTGTTTTGATACAAGTTCATTCCGTTTATATATAATGTTGCATGTGGAATAACGTTACATGTTATGCAGCTCCTACCGTTTTGATTGTCGATGTATGTATGTATGTTTTGAATCCGATGTACCTTCGAATTATCATGAAAATGTGACATTTGTTAAACTTGGAATAATAGAAACCGTAACATTCAAGAATAACTAAAATTGGAAGTTACCCATAAAAAGTTTAATACGACTCGTCTGTTTTACATTATGTAACGTAATGTTGCTGTAAATACTATGTTACTTTTAGAATCATGTTACGTTGGTTAACATGCCTATTATTCCCTCTTTTATGTGCACAGATGTACTCCGAGACGCATGGAGATTTAACAGGTGAGAGAGACAGAGATAAATGGGGTTTAACGTCCACTCGACACAAACTAGGTCATTTCGGGACTAATATATGGTTCAATTTTATTTCAATAATTCGCTTGATCGTAGGGGTCTTTAGCAGTGGGAGGAAACCGTAGTACCCGGAGGAAACCCATGAGGTTGGACAGGCGAGCCTACTTTTTGCCACGTACATCCGATTAACTGAAACCACGTCAGTTAACTAGATGACAGACCTAATGATACAACGCGCACGCCCGTCTTTATTGACCTAGTTCGGAGCGAAATAGTAGGACGTTAAACCCCATTTCATTTTATTTCATTTACAACGCGCACGCGCTAACCATTCGGTCACCCCCCCCCCCGATTTTACAGGTAAATATCTAAGGTATTGTGATCAGGTCCACCCGATTAGATTTTATTACATACTTTGAGAAGGTATTTGTTGAGTAATAAAACCTTGTAGTAGTTTATCGAGGGCTGGCCCATTAAGGGTGGGGAAGGGGCAACAAATAAACTACTAGAAGGTTTTATTACTCAACAAATACCTTCTCGAAGTATGTAATAAAATCTAATCGGGTGTCAGGCCAGATCCGTGACCTCGTTGTTGAGCTATATTTGATATTAATAATCATGTTATTTATCATTAGTTACCCACTGGAAATGTGGCCTACGTGATTTCCGTAGATTACAAAACACATGCCGCGAACCAGGCGGGTGTCTACAGCTATATTTGTTGCCCCTTCCCCACCCTTAATGAACCAGCCGGGTGTCTACAGTTGTATTTGTTGCCCCTCGCCCTCCTCCCTCCCAGCCTTTAAAACGTAATGATTTCCTTAGATTACACAACACATGCCGCAAACAGAACTTAATGAAGCCGCCGGGTGTCTACATTTATATTTGTTTCCCCCGCCCCCTTTATTAAACCAGCCCGGTGTCTACAGCTATATTTGTCACTACTCCCCCCCACCCACACTTAATAAACCTGCTGGGTATCTACAGCTATATTTGTTGTCACCACCCCTTAAATGAACAGCCGGGTGTCTACAACTACATGTATATTTGTTGACCCTCGCCCTCCCCATTAATGAACCAGTCGGGTGTCTACAGTTGTATTTGTTGCCCCCCTCCCCCCCAGCTTATTGGACCAGTTGGGAATCTACAGCTGTATTTGTTGCCCCCCCCCCCCCCGAGTCTTAAAACGTAATGATTTTCGTAGAGCATGTATTACTACCTCCCACTGCCAAATACCCAGTACCCAAAAGAAAAATATTTAAATAACCATTGAACCATATGTTAGTCGCAAAATAACCTAGTTTGGGTCGGTTGGACGTTAACCCCATTTCATGTCAACCATGAAGATAATATATCTCAGTGGTATATCTCAGTCCACCACATTGCTATGGCACGTGCCGAGAACATGATTTATGGATTGGGTCGGTACATACTAAACTTAGGCTGTCTGTCTACAGTTAGCGCCGCTTGAGAACAGACACTAAACTTGTTGATCGACATTTTAAGTCCTAAATCGAAGATTTTAGTCGAAAACACCAAGTATACTTCGAAAATTTTGTTGAGTATTTATTCTGCTTCTATTTAATAAAATTGAAAAAGGTTTTTTAGTCTTTGTGTTTATGACAGAGGTAAAACGAAGTAGAAACGCATTACAATACAGTGTACTAATTTTTGGATATGGCGGTCATTTAGGGCAGAGATCTATTCTCGAGAAATGTACAGAATGTCTAGCAGTAGTGACGGGAAATCTGAAGCGCAATAAATATGTCTATTGATTGTATTACTAAGTATATAATCCGCCCCATTATAATAAATGAAATACTAGCCGATTAACCCCAACCCACCCATTGCACACAACAATGCGCTTGTCACATAAATACACATCTCTTTTGTAAATTATTTTTTTCAGATCTAAGATCCACCACAGCTTGTAATGGTGTAAAGGCTAGATGTACACGTCACCGTTTAAACTGTCCGGGAACGTCTGTTATTTCTATTGTGAAAATAACTCTGGGATACAAACACGGATGTGCTGCCCTGACCGGAATTATGGGTTGTTTTAATATAGACTGTTGTCAGAAAGAATTTCGCGATTGTACTTTAACATTAAAGGAGCATGACTACCTTAAAGTATCCAAAAGGTGTTCTGGTAGGGGAAAATGTGGAATAGCGGGTATTAAGAGTGAAAAGAGATGTAAATCATTTAGAACGAATGCATACAGTACCATTGAATATAGATGCATTAAGCCATTACACAAAGGTATTTTCAAACATTTATTATCAGTTTAATTTAAATTGATTAGACCCCTTTCATTACAAACTACGTGACAAGGATTAGGGTTGCCTGTCCATCCTCGTGGTTTTTTTCCGGCTCCTCCGGTATTGACCCACTGCAAAAGATCCCTACGCGCAAGCGAATTATTGAAATAAAATTAAACCATATGTTAGTCCCGAAATGACCAAGTCTCTATCTTCTCTCTCTCTCTCTCTCTCTCTCTCTCTCTGGGGATCACGATGGCTAAGTCGGTAAGACGCTGGCTCGCTAGCTTGGAGGTCGGGTGTTCGATCAGTGCATTGGTCGAGAAAGTTTATCCAGATTTTCCGTCGTCATTTCCCCTTGTCAGTGATGCAGGACGGAGGGCCTGACAAGGACAGCTGTCTAGGGACGAGAAACCGAGGTACCGTGTGCACGTAAAGATCCCTTGGCAGTTGGAATTCGATATAAGAGTAGGCCGTAGCGCCGCTGCCCGGGCAAAATTTCCCTCATAGCACACTATATGGCGTATGCCCGTCTCCATTAGCCCAGTTTAGGAGAAGAACAGTAGAACGTTAAACCCAATTTCATTTCATTTCATTTCTCTCACTCTTTCATTACAAACTGAATTTAACATAATTTATATATTAAGAACAGGTTTATGTTTGTGTTGATACTTTTGTAATGATTTTGTCCGAATAAATTATTATTATTTGAATAAAAGAGGGTCAATGTAATATGTTGATATGATTGACAAACTAGATACCCGCCTACCATTGAAATATGTAGGTGCCGAAATACATGTGTGTTTAAACTGTCGACATAACATTAAAAATCACAACACAAAACACAAGAGACTACTTGTCGAAACGTCGTGCTATATGTGTATAAACCAGTAATTGTTTTGTATATAAATTATGTTGTGTGTTTCAATATCATTCTATTGAATATTTAATACAGGTTGTAAGGGATAGCACACATTTGTCACACGCGTTGTCCATATACGCGTTTCCGTAGGGTTTCATGTAACCGGCGACGGTTAGTCCTAAAACACCAAAAACAGCGAAAATAACTTTGTATATAAAATTCAATGTATTGGATGTATTTTTCAAAAACCCAGGAAATATCACGAACTGAATTTTCATCATCCTAGGTCAGTGCTTATGTGGAGACTCAACCTCTCCCCCAAATTCCTAAACCTAACCTACAACAATCTCGCCAACAATCACGTGCCCTAACCTTATTTACATCTCAACGACCTTGACAAAAATTGAGCTGGCTTTAACAAATAGATTTAGGCAACCGGCGACGGTGCTTGCATGGAAAACGGGCATTAATGCTGGCAAGATTAGGCATTGCGTACAGTCTGGCAAGGTGCTTGACTTTATCCGTGCAATATGACCATTATGATGGTTACAAATGATCAAGTATGGTACCACACCGATCATAGGTGAATATTCGCTAGGCTGCTACACTCACTGATAGGGATGACATCGGCGCGGCTTTATGAACCCGAATATTAACTTTTTTCCTTCTGCAAATTAAATTCTAGAACATTTTTGTAATTATTATATAGAAAAATAAAAAAGGTGTTTGAAGTATGTGTAGGTATACAATATTTCCTATTTAGTGTACGGGAGCCACGGTGGCTACGTGGTTAAGACGCTGGCTCGCTAGCCTGGAGGTCGATCCCTGCATTGGCCGAGAAAGTTCATCCAGATTTTCCGGCGTGGTTTCCTCTTGTCAGTGATGCAGGACGGAGGGCCTGACAAGGACATCTTTCTAGTCCTTCGGATGAGACGAAAAACTGAGGTCCCGTGTATACATTGGAATGCACGTAAAAGATCCCTTGGCAGTTGGAATTCGATATAAGAGTAGGCGATAGTGCCGCTGCCCGGGCAAAATTTCCCTCATAGCACACTGTATGGCGTATGCCCGTCTTCATTAGCCCAGTATAGAAGCAGAACAGTAGGACGTTAAACCCCATTTCATTTCTTTTCTATTTAGTGTATATGAGTATGTAACATAAGTAAAAGTTTCCATTCAAATGGGACCAGTAAACTCTTATGTAAACAATGCACGCGCCATTAAGCCGATGATTACTCCGCGTGATGGAACGTCACTTGCTGAAAGCAGTCATCTTCGCAATACCTCTGTGAAATATATTGGTATGATACGTGTTACCATTTTACCTCGAGCTATCCTCAAAATTACTCATACTCATGAATGTCGAGTGATTTCAATACGTACTCGTTTATCTATTGTACTCCTTATCAGTGAACTGGGAATATATTAGCCCCGTTTTTTTTATTATTGCAGATAAATCTGAAGAGATAACTATTTCACCTTTATATAACAACAGCGGAAATATCACCGGTGGTAGCGATAATCGTACTCTTGCTGTCAATCTTACTCTATTTAATACAGGTGAGTAGACTATTTCCTCGACCCCAGCACCGAATTCACGAAGACTTAAGTTCAGAATTTACTCAACATTCAATCACCTTTTATGAAAAATCTCGTTGATCTAGATACACAAAAATGTGCACATAGTTTTTTATTGGTGTATTTGATACATTAAAACAACAACAGTTTAATAAAGGGCTGTGTTTTAGTTAGAATAAGGCGATCAACTTTGAGTAAATTCTTAATTAAGTCTGCGAATGCTTTGTGAACTTGGACCGGATTTAGATACCTAAACGGTCGACGAATTTCACGGGGAACGTAAGGGTTGATGATCTCTAAAATTAGAAATTAAATTACATTCCAAATATACGGGTGTTCGATCCCTGCATTGGCCGAGAAAGTTCATCCAGATTTTCCGGCGTGATTCTCCCTTGTCAGTGATGCAGGACGGAGAGGCTGACAAGGAAAGCTGTCTAGTCGTTCGGATGGGACGAAAAACCGAGGTCCCGTGTACACATTGGCGTGCACGTAAAAGACCCCTTGGCAGTTGGAATTCGATATAAGAGTAGGCCGTAGTGCCGCTGTCCGGGCAAAATTTCCCTCATAGCACACTGTATGGCGTATGCCCGTCTTCATTAGCCCAGGTTAGGAGCAGAACAGTAGGACGTTAAACTCCATTTCATTTCATTTCATTTCATTCCAAATATAACCTGTTAGTAAAATGAATGATAGGAAAATATTTGTTGAAAACATCGGAAGAAGACGTTTCAGAAATTGTATGAATGGAAAACCGTGGAACCTGAGATAAAATGTTGGCGACCTCTGTATTTTTATCTTCAGATATGGCGTGTGATCACTAACCCGGAATTTTTGTAACCTAAATGTCCACTCGACGCAAACTAGGTCATTTCAGAACTAACGTAAGGTTCAATTTCATTTCAGTGATTCGCTTGCTTGTAGGTCTTTAGCTGTGGGGGAGGGGCGGAGGAACCCGGAAAAACCCACGCGGTTGGACGCGTACATCCGGGGAATCGAAACCACGCCACTTGACTCAATGACAAACCTTATGATCCAAAGAGCATGCATTAATCATCCCCCCGCCCCGCCCCGCCCCTACACACACACGCCCAGATTCAAATAATACGTTAAACAACTTACCATTTCATTTCACGTAATATAAATTGAATTATAATTTATTGATAAATTTGTTTTTCTAATTTAGATTTCTCAGCTGTAATTTTAGGAGGTTTAACAGTGTTAATATCTGTTGGTATCATATTAATTGTGGCCTACTGTTTAAGGTAAGTTATACACACCTTTTAAACCCGAGGGGAGATGATACATATTAATTGTGGCCTAGTGTTTAAGGTAGATTATACACACCTTTTAAACTCGAGGGGAGGCGATAGATTTTTGTTGTGGGAACATTCTTATCTAAACATAATGTGGTTGTGTTCGATAAGAGAAATAACCGAAGTCGCCCTTACACTGTGTCAGTGTATCTTAAAGACATAAGATTAAATCATTCCTGTTGCCACTCTTTACATCAATTGTTTGCACAACCGGGTCTGTACGGTAAATTACTGGACTTTTTAAAGATACAATTTTTACAGAAAGTGTTGTGATAATTCTTTTTAATGATATATTTGTGATTTTCATAATATATTTATTTAAATGATATATACATAAAGTGTTGTGATAATTGTTTGTAATAGTATATTTGTGATTTTCATAATATATTTATTTAAATGATATATACATAAAGTGTTGTGATAATTGTTTTTTATTGATATTTACTGTGATATTTGTTTTTATTCATGCATATGTATATCTAACTATTGTGATAATCATTTAGTTTGTCTCGCGTAAATCACCGTATGTCTGGTGTAATATAACCCAGTTGGTGTTCATTCATTCCGTGTAAGGGTATAGTAATAGTAAGTGCAGGGGGACTGCACCACACAAAATTTACAGAAAAACAAATACATCATACTCAGGAAAACACAAACAGACAAACAAAAGAATCCCCTGACAAGTACATGCAATCACCCTTGCATTATGGCTCAAGGGAAACGGAACCAAGTCATAGGATTGTTCACATATATTACCCAAGTAAAACTCGTGTACTATTTTAATGTAAGGAATTTTTTTAACTTGTCATTAGTTATATTAAATTATAAACTTTTATGAAGTGTCAAAAATGTTCTGCTCCGATTGGGCTACACCACACCGTGTGCTATGTAGAGCAGTAGAACAAAGTTTAACCCCATTGTATTTCATTTATTCCCTATTAACAACAACATCACGATGTATGCCACATAGCTATTGCTGTAGCTATTGGGAATAAGGATTTGACGATCTGTGGATCATGTGTGCATGCACACTGCTCAGCAGTGAATATTCTTCGCTAGTCCGCTTCACTCATAGGGATGACATCGATGTGACTTGATGAGCCCCACATATTAACATTTTTCCTTCTGCAAATTAAATTTTAGAACATTTTTTTAAGCATTAGAAAAATAGATATATGTGGGTAGAAGATATTTCCTATTTAGTGTAAATGGGTATGTGAAATGAGTAAAAGGCATCATTCTGCCTGGTCTAGTTGCATCTTATGTAAACTATGCACGCGCCATTAAGACAATGATTGACACCACGTGATGTGACGTCAAGCATCTTTTACAGAGCTATTAGTCTTGGCAGTACCTCTGTGAAACAAATTGGTGTGCATGTTTCAGTCAGGGCCAGATTCTTCTCCGTGTGGTCCCTAGACTAAACTCATACAAGTGGGCCACGGGTGTGATGTAATTGGTAAACCCAGTCCTGATTGTAAATGCCAATCATCTCTGTTTAAATACATTTTATTTTATTTTGTCTATTTCAGACGAATCAACATCAACCGAATGACGGAAATCTACCCATCGTTTAGTATCAGTGACAATAGACATGGACCTTATGTATACCAGAGAACAAATGATAGCCCTGCGTCGGGGCTCGAACGTACTGGAAATCTGTATATACAATATCCGATAAGACAATCAGTACGGATTGATTGCGACCATAAGACATTAGAACAACGTGTGACAACGGTGTGACATTATTATGATGAGTTTCGAGCGGGTTGGTGACAACCATAAGACATTAGAACAACTTGTGACCACGGTATGATATGATTATGCTGAGTTTAGAACAGATTGTTTGCGATCGAAAGACATTAGAACAACCTGTGACCACGGTGTGTGGAGGTGACCACGGTCTGTGGAAGTGACAGCGTAGGACTACAACAAGCGAGTGATGGAGGTGTGTGTGAGAGAGAGAGAGAGAGAGAGAGAGAGAGATTGGGTTTAACGTCCACTCGACACAAACTAGGTCATTTCGGGACTAACATATGGTTTAATTTTATTTCAATAATTCGCTTGCGCGTAGGGGTCTTTAGCAGTGGGAGGAAACCGGAGGACCCGGAGAAAACCCACGAGGTTGGACAGGCGACCCTACTCCTTGTCACGTACAACCGGGGAATCGAAACCCCGCCAGTTGACTCAATGACAGACTTTATGATACAGCGCGTACACGCTAACCATTCAGCCATCCACCCCCCCCCTGATGGAGGTGTGAAGTTGGACGGCCACATGCAGGTTAATTATGCCGAACGACTTTAAAACAAGGATGACCACGATATGCACTAGTGGACTCGGTGCAGGTTAAATATGGCAAAACGACTTTAGAACAAGGAATGACCACGAAGTGGGAGTTAAAACATAATAATGAGTTTAATGAAGTTGGTTGAGACAACAAGTGGAGACAATAAAAGTAAACAATGTTGTTAAATTTCATTTCACCGAGGCTCTTATTACTGTAACCCGGGTATTATTTAGTCCAATTTACAAGCGTTTAATTTCTCGATCACTTTTAGAAAATAAACAACCCAATTGATTACTGATGTATATTGATTGATTTTAAACAGTGGTCAGTAAATTAAATAATTGTGAATTGGACACACATCAATATTAATCAGTCAGATATAAACTGGACACAAGTACAAATTAGATAATTTGTTGTGGTTTTATATGATATTTACAAATTTTTAAACAAAGATTTAATAGTAAACGAATGTGAAAGAAATGAGTGCTAGATACACAAGATTAAATGATACCTGGGTTACAGCGTATGTGGCTGTTTGACAGCGTAAATTGATTGACATACGTTTACAAGATGTGACACAAAATAAGTCCTGTCTTGCTGTCGATTTACACAAACACAATATTATGCGAGCACAGTGATATATTTCGATTTTGAAAGTTGCACCTAAATTCTTGGATTTTTGCCATTATTATAATTTACGTTTGTTATGATTAGACAGTATTACAAGGAAAATAACTACAGTAAATAGACAATAAATATTGAAGTGATTGCAGGGGACGGTGGGGGGGGGGAGGGTCAGGTGTTATTTTAATATCTGTTTTGCTCCTCCGTAATGTTATGTAGTAAAGAAATGTTTCAAGGGAGACAACTTGTGTAAATAGAAAAAAAATGTTATATTTGTTGTGTCATTTCCATGGTCATAGAAATATTTTCAGTATGAGCTATTTGACTGATATTGGACAATGCAAGGGTCTTGCGATCATAGCATGTTGTTTTGTGAACAAACTGTGCATTTGTTTGGATTCATTGACAATGTTTTGTTTGGTTGGTTTTTTTAAATTGTAAACTGTAATAAAATGTATATATTAAAGATCTACAGCGGTACTTTGTATTATTTCTAATTTTCGACAATTAGTGACATAACATTATCCTATAACGATGGTGGTCCGTTACGCTTTAGTCCGTCCTCATAGTAGGAGGCGCTGGCTCGCTAGCCTGGAGGTTGGGTGTTTGATGCCTGCATTGGCCGAGAAAGTTCATCCAGATTTTCAGACGTGGTTTCCCCTTGTCAGTGATGCAGGACAGAGTGCCTGACAAGGACAGCTGTCTAGTCCTTCGGATGAGACGAAAAACCGAGGTCTCGTGTAAACATTGGAATAAACGTAAAAGATCCCTTGGCAGTTGGAGTTCGATATAAGAGTAGGCGATAGTGCCGCTGCCCGGGCGAAATTTCCCTCATAGCACACTGTATGGCGTATGCCCGTCTTCAATAGCCCAGCATAGGAGCAGAACAGTAGGACGTTAAACCCCATTTCATTTCATTTAAACATACATTATGCAAGAGCTAAATTTGCCTATAGCAGGTCTTTCTTTAACCCTGAAATGTTATCTAAATTATTAATTTATAATCCATTCTCGATGGCATTGCTAGCCCGCGATCTAGAGTGGATTATGATCCGATTTACTGCATAACTATCCTTCACGATTTAATGATTAAATGGAAAATCCAAACTATGATTTTTGTCGCATCGACTTTTGTAATGATGATCGAGGCTAAGCGGAAATTTCAATCGCTTAATTCTTGGTTCATAGTGGATCAATTTGACTGACATTTTCAGCAAATTGCTTTACATTATCTTGTTTTTAACTATTATAGTTAGAACCTCCAGCACTTTATCGAAACTCCCATAATGTATCTCTAAGCTTTACATTTACGTAATTACAACAATTCCATCGACTGTAATCTAAAATTATAAGATATTTAATACATATTGCATGTCAACATAACACAACGATATAACACCAGGCAGACAGAAAGTAAATAAAAAAAGGCCATGGATTATTATAATATAACATAACGATATAACACCAGGCTGACAGAAAGTAAATAAAACAATGTTAATGTAAATAAAATAATGCTATGGATGATACTGTAGAATATAACATAACGACATAACACCAGTTATGGATCATACTCTGAACATTGTAACGTTTTGATACAGATATTACAGACACTGACAGAAATTAAATAAAACAATATTATCGACTATACTTTAAACATTACGGGGGTGGGGTGGTGATGGATCGCAGAATTGTTAGCGCGTGCGCGTTGTATCATAAGGTCTGCCATTGAGTCAACTGTCGTTTCGATTCCAACCTCGTGGGTTTTCTCCGGGTACTACGGTTTCCTCCCACAGTTAAGGACCCTTACACACAAGCGAATTATTGCTATACAATTGACCCATATGTTAGTCCCGAAATGACCTAGTTGGTGTCGAGTGGGCATAAAGCACGTAAACACAGTGACGGTTTTAATACATATAAATATTACATTACTGACATCACAAAGCCAAAATGAGAAATGAATTGGAGTTTAACGGCCTACTGTTCTGCTCCAACTGGAATAATAAAGACGGACATACGCCATACAGTGTGCTATAAGGGGAGATTCGCCCGGGCAGTGGCACTATGGTCTACTTTTATGTGCACGTCAATGTGTACATTGTTTTTCGTCGCATCCGAAAGACTAGACAGCTGTCCTTGCCAGACCCTCCGTCCTGCACCACTGACATGCCAATGTATATACGGGAACTCGGGTTTTCATCTCATCCGAACGACTAGACAGCTGACCTTGTGAGGCCCTCCGTCCTGCACCACTGACATGGTGAAATCACGTCGGAAAATCCCGATGTACTTTCTCGGCCAATGCAGGGATCGAACACTCGACCTCCAGACTAGCGTACCAGCTAGTACATTAAATGAAAAAGAGGTTAACGTCCCACATATGTGCATCGAGTGGGCTAATGAAGACAGGTATAAGCAATACAATGAGCTATGAAATTATGCACTGCAGAGGAGAAACGACACCGAATAACCACGAATAACACCCGGGGCCTGTTTCACGAAATTCTAACTAAGATAAAATCCAAATTTTATTAATTTGATTGGATAATATTAGATTGATTTTAGTGCTTAGCCAATCAAAATTGAAGTATCTACTAAAATTTGGATTTTATCCTTAGTGAAGCTTTTGAGAAACAGGGCCCCGGAGTAAAGCCAAGGTCAAGTAAATAAGAGAAATGCTGTCCACTATAAGTTATAAAATATATACTACTTCATTCACAATTATGAAAACCCTAACATTGTTTACATGGCATCAATACAGCTTAACATATCGTTACTGCTTTGGGCTTAACACCGGCTTCAACCTTGTGTGATGTCACCGACATATGTTTATATGCTATGGCAATATTCGTGGTATTTCTTGCCAATTTAATATCCGTATGCTAGTACCCGTCTAAGGGGTGGGGGGTATGGTTGGTCTGTTTGTTTAACGCGTGTGCGTAAAATCACAAGGTCTGTCATAGCGTCAAGTGGCGTGGTTTCGAAATCCTGCGGTGCGTGATAAGGAGTAGGGTCGCCTGTCCAGCCTCGTAGGTTTTCTTCGGGTCCTCCCACTGCTAAAGACAACTGCGCGCAAGCGAATTATTGAAATAAAATTGAAACATATGTTAGTCCAGAAATGACCTAGTTTGTGTCGAGTGGATGTTAACCCCCTCTCCCCCCCCCCCCTTTGGAGTGTAGGAGGTGATAAGAATATACCCTTCCGAAATGGCTGGTAGGAGCAGCAATGGTTACACCACCTTTCATTTCATTGACATAATGATATTCATAGTATTTTATGGCATGATAGAGGTCACAATATTTTTTGGCACGATAATATTCATGGTATTTTATGGCATGATAATATTCACAGAGTTTTATGATAATGTTCATAGTATTTTATGGCATGATGATATTGATAGTATTTTATGACATGATAGTACTAGTAGCATTTTATCAGCATAAGCATTATATGAAGCTTCCATTTTTTACAAAAATATCAGTTCATTAAGAGTTATCTCTAACACTGGACAATGTTTATACGTTCTAGTGGAGACAGTTTTAACACGACACACCATTGTCCGTCTAAAACAACACGTTAGACAAAACATGCTTCAATATCCAACTAAACAACAACGATATATAAGATATCCGCAAATATTCCAGATAACCTATATATGTTTCCTTTTCTAATGGGTTCACGTGACTTTCGGACGTTTAACCTAATACTTTAATGTATTTACCATCCACGGTTTCGTACATTTCACCACTCTGTGAGTCCAACGTGGTTGTTTTCGTATTTTGGCCTCTGGCTCCTGGTAAGTTTTGAATACCTTTTAAATTATAATATTCCGTACTGTCCGAACGGGCATAATTCCCGAGATTTATATAAGTTGATTTCCCATCCGTGTCTAAAGCATCATATATTGGTTTGGGTAGGCTGTCTTGACGACGTTGAGTCGTATCATATTGGTGTTCCACCACGGTGCCCTCTTTGTTCATGGTTTTAATTTTCCTGTAATAATGAAACACATCATTAAATTTCTAAACCCACGTGTATCGCGCAGGTTATGTGATTAAAATACAGGTCTATAGTTCGTTTTATTTATACTTTCGAAGCCCTCCACTCACGAAACAAATACATTATACCGAAATTTTGAACTATTAAAAAAAACACGAAACGAAATAGCATGTGTTTTATTCAGATTATTTTAACAACCTATTGTAAATCACTCAAGCACTTTCAAAGGTTAATTACTTTTATAAGGATCTGGCAATACATAAAGTATAGCCGATCGGATAGGACGAGAAACCGAGTTCCCAATTACACAGGTAGTAGCGCCGCTATCCAGGAAAGATTCCCCCCATATCACACTGCGTGGCCTATGCTTGTCCCATGTACACATTGGCGTGCAAGTGAACGAATCATTAACAGTTGGAATTCGAAATAAGAGTAAATCGTCTTCATTAGTTCAAATGGTGTAAGACAGTGGACAGCTTAACCGCGGGGGTTGGATGGCCGAATGGTTGTACGTGGCAAGAAGTAGGGTCGCCTGTCCAACCTCGTGTATTTTCTCCGGGTCCTCTGGTTAATTCCCAATGCTAAAGACCCTACGCGCAAGCGAATTATTGAAATAAAATTAAGCCATATGTTAGTCCCGAAATGACATGGTTTGTGTCGAGTGGAAGTTTAACCCGATCTATCTCTCTCTCTCTCTCTCCCTCTCTCTCTCTCTCTCTCTCACACGCTATCTCTCTCTCGCTAAAGCGCATTTCATTTTATTTTGTACAACATACCTTTGGAAATATAAGAACTGTAAAATCAGTAGAATTACACATATAATAACCAGTGTTCCCAATATACCTCCAACAGTAGAAGCTGCACATGGCGCATACACTGAAAAGATAATAACACCACCATTGAGTTAACTCTTGAATTGGCTGCATTAGACAAAAAAAAATGGGTCTCAAAGCAAGCAACAAGGGATATGCCATTTTACATTTACTGCAGGGGGCGAGGTTAGCACATGCGCGCTGTATCATGACGTCTGTCATTGAGTTAACTGGCGTGGTTTCGAATCCCCGGTTGTACGTGACAAATAATTGAGTCGCCTGTCCAACCTCGTGGGTTTTCTCCGGGTCCTCCGGTTTCCTACCAGTGCTAAAGACCCCTACGCGCAAGCGAATTATTGAAATAAAATTTAATCCTATGTTAGTCCCGAAATGACCTAGTTTGTGTCGAGTGGACGTTAAAACCCATTTCTCTCTCGCTCGCTCTTACATTTACTGTAATAAAATGGGGTTATTCCCCTTTAACGTGGAAACAAACAATGTTCACTGATGGTTTGATATATTTCATGTATTCCTCGGAAGATCACTACCGAGAAAAAGATAAAAAAAAAATAACGTAAAAGTTGGAGTGTTCTTGGAACGTGTAGATCTTCATCTTTCAGGGAATACGAAACAGCTTTCCAACAAATGTTTGTATATATGTAAAACAGAGAAGAATTTTATGCTTATTGTATTTTGTATAAATATCGTTTTATTTATCTTCTAATTAAAACTGAAACTTCACAGACTGCAATTCCAAGATCCAAGTACGAGAAAGATTAGCAGTCAAATAGAGAATTGTGCTAGGAATAAATACCTAAATTCCAAAATATTTCCCTTCATCAAAATTCTAATTTTAGACTAATAAAGATACTAGGACAGCGCGATGGAACAATGCCCAATTTGAGTTACACTCACCAGAATCGGCGTTGCTCTGTGTAGAAGCAGTTGTTGATGCTACTGGTGTTTCACTCTGAACTGGTGTTGATGTTGGAGCTTGTGTAGTAGGTGGTGTAGTAATCAGTGGCGGTGTAGCTTGTGTAGTAATTAGGGGTGTAGTAGCCCGTGGAGTGGCTTTTGTAGTCACCCGAACTATTTAAAAAAACAAAAGGATAAACATGAATATCAAGAATTTCTTTTCACAGCTTAAAATGCTGAACTTTCCTTCAAGCTATTACGGTTGGATGTTTCCATGTACGATGAATTTATGACACTAAAACAGTATGCGTTGAATATTAAGTCGAACATTGTTGATGATCTACGGGACCAGTTCCCATAATTTGAAATGCATTTTTTCGAAAAGCATTTTAATTGCCATCTTAACCCTTTTGTTCTTATGTATTAGGAATATAGCCTTCTTATCTGTACAACCATTTGCAATATAGCCATGGGTTCTGTCCATAGCTCCGCCAAACAACCCCCACCCTTATTCCCTATCGCAGCCTCTCTCTCTCTCCGTCATCCCACCCCACTCTTATTCTCTATCACAGCTCCTTCCCTCTCTCCCCCTCGCTCTCTCCCCCCTATCTCTCTCCATCTCTCTCTCTCTTACCTATGGTTGAAATGGAGTTATATTGTATTACACTGCCCCTCTCTCTCTCTCTCTCTCTCTCTCTCTCTCTCTCTCACACACACACACACACACACACACTCACACACACACATACACACACACTTACCTAATGTCGAAATGCAGTTATATTGTATTACACTGTAAGCCGGATTGGATGAATGAGCCGAACAAGCTGTAGATGTATCTTTCAATCTTTCAATTTTACACGATGAGCTACCATCACATCCTCCTTTTAGTTCCAGGAGATGCGTCTGATTAACAGGTATCTTACAATCAGCAGTCTGTTCCACACAGCATGTTAAATTAGTACAATCACCAACACTACCACACCCTGGTCTATACCCAAACGTCACAGAGGTCAATGAGATTACCATCGGGTTTTCACAAGTAAGTTGGTGAATTGTACAATTGATGGACAACTGTGAACTGTAACATGCGGAACTTGTTTTTGCCTCTGAAAAGAAAATCTTTAATAATTATTTATACTTTCTGGGTTTAAAATATGATGAGTAAAACGACCCTGAAACAAATATCAAAATTGAACAATACTACGAAAGTATTCATATCTTTCCTCATTATTGAGTACGTGCATAAGCAATGCAGTGTGCTTTGCGGGGAAATTTTGTCCGGGCAGCGGTACTGCGATCTATTCGATTTCAAACTCTCAGGGATTTAAAAAGGTTAAAAACTGTCTTTTATGTTCAGGGGGGGGGGGGCGAATGGTTAGCACGCGCGCGCTGTATCACAAGGCCTGTCAGTGAGTAAACTGGCGTAGGAGTAGGGTTGCCTATCCAATCTCGGGGGGTTTCTCTGGGTCCTCCAGTTTCCTCCCACTGCTAAAGACCCCTACGCGCAAGCGAATTATTTAAACAAAATTAAACCATATGTTAGTCCCGAAATGACCTAGTCTGTGTCGAGTGGACGTTAAACCCCATTTCTCCCTCTCTCTCTCTCTCTGTCTCTCTCTCTCTCTCCCTCTTTTATTTTCAGCAAATTTTACCTGGGCCTACTTTTGTTACTGTGAAATTAGACTGCCTATGATGTTTGATGTACACGGGACCCCTTCTCTTACTTCCCATCTAACGTCTAGCCTCTCCACCACCCCGCACTATCTCCACGGCTAAATGACCCCCAATATTCACTGAACCATTGTGGCTCCAACAAATTTACAAGTTTAAACTATTGGCGTCTCTGAAGCTTTCAAGATGGCGATTGACACACCTTGAATTTAAGTAGAAACAAGAAAACTTGTCAACTTACCAACACAGTTGAAGAGAAGACAACTGATGACGATTATCAGGACATTCATTATAACACTTAAAATAGTACTGTCGTCGATCAGCTGAAACAAATAAAATTTTGTTCATTTTTAAAACATCAAACGTTGGACATAAAACCACTTTCAAATTGAAGCACCATTTAGTACCCTTGGTGCTTAAAATATGACGTTAATCAACTTTGTGTTTTATCGTACCGACTTCAGTAATGATGATCGAGGCTAGGATTAAAATTCAATCGCTAATTTGATATCTTGGTCGCGAGTGGAGCAATTTGACTGACATTTTCAGAATATTCCATTTACATCATCTATATTAAAACTATTAAAGCGAGAACTGTCAAGTTTTTATCTAACCTCCGAAAATGCCACTTTAATGCCTGTACATCCTCCCGGGTTTTTCTCCGGGTCCTCCAGTTTCCTTCCACAGCTAAAGACCCCTACGCGCAAGCGAATTATAGAAATAAGATTGAACCATCACTGTGTCTTCCAACTATGCCAAAACCCATTTCACCTTTTTTCACTCTTATCAATGCGCTTTGCAATACAAACAGAATCTCCACATAATTAAATTTTTTTCTTCAACATTCATTCATAGAAATAACGTGGATCAAACACACGCAGCCGTTCTGGCCTCACTCCTCGCTAATGATATGTACATAAATAAATAGATGTATTGTGCCACAGCTTCTTATTTTCGAGGGTTGGATGGCCGAATAGGTTAGCGCGTGTGCGTTGTACCATAAGGTCTGTCATTGAGTCAGCTGGCGTGGTTTCAATTCCCCGATTGTACGTGACAAGCAGTAGAGTCGCCTGTCCAACCTGTGGGTTTTCTACGGGTCCTCTGGTTTCCACCCATTGCTTAAAATTCCATACGCGCAAGCGAATTATTTAAATAAAACTTAACCATATGTTAGTCCCAAAACGCCTGCCTAGTTTGTGTCGAGTGGACATTAAACCCCATCTCTCTCTCTCTCTCTCTCTCTCTCTCTCTATCTCTTCTGATTTTACAAAATTATCGGGTAATCCCTTAGATGTTGTCTCCGTTTTGAATACAATCAAAATATAATCACACTCACATGAATAATTAGTCAGGTAATATACCACAGTTTAAGTTAACGTAATTAATTCAACATTTTCATATGGATAATAGTCGGCTTATCATTTAAAATACTAATTAACATAATGAATTGATCGTGACTGACATATGACAAGTCATCTTATCAACATCCGGGTTTAATAAACATCAGGCAAGTTTTAATTCTATGAACAAATAATTCTCCGATAACTACTCCCCTCTCTCAACTCCACTTGTCTTGGTTTACAAATAATGAAATAAAAATCTGCCTTTGTCATGTGGTTATATATATTTAAATATACAGCTTAACCTTTCATTACTGAAGCAACCGACTCCATCTATTTGTTTAAAGCTTTATTTTGACATTAATGACAGGAGTTTAGCCTCGATGAAAATAATCATACTACAATGCTTTATTGTAACAAGGACAGCTGCTGTCTAGTCGTTCGGATGGGACGAAATACCGGGGTCCTGTGCACATATGGCGTGTACGTAAAAAATCCCGTGGCAGTTGGAATTCGATATAAGAGTAGGCCGTAGCGCCGCTGCCAGGGCAAAATTTCCCTCATAGCATACTGTATGGCGTATGCCCGTCTTCATTAGCCCAGGTTAGGAGCAGAACAGTAGGACGTTAAACCCCATTTCATTTCATTTCATTTTTATTGTTAATTATTTGTAATTGTTTATCCATATTATTACTTCTCTCATCTTGTTAATTCTTAATTAATGATTAATCTGTTATCTGCTTTCCAATTGTTAACTATATATTGCACCAGATTTTTGTTAAATATCATTATTTGCTTGATAACGATATCTGTATGTATATCGAAACGTAGCATGTTAATAAATTCAGAAGTATTATATTCATATAAGTGTTTTTAATTCTTTATTTATGTAATTCTACTGCCGTCTGCATTAGCGCAGTCGGAGCAGAACAGTAGGACCGTAAACCCCATTTCATTTTATTATTTTTTTCCCTTTAATTTTACTGACTGATTATAGTTTCATGCAAGCAATATATACATGACAAGTAAATAAAAAAAAACAAAGGAAGTGTCTCGGTGGGGTGTAAATAAATGAAATGAAATGGGGTTTAACGCCCTACTGTTCTGCTCCTAAACTGGGTTAATGAAGACGTGCATACGCCATAAAGTCTGCTATGTGGGAAATTTTGCCCGGGCAGCGGCGCTACGGCCTACCCTTATATCGAATTCCAACTGCCAAGGGATATTTTACGTGCATGCCAATGTGTACACGGGACCTCGGTTTTTCGTCCCACCCGAACGACTAGACAGCTCGTAGACGGAAAACAACCCAAGACAGATACTAGTCATAGACACATAGAATGACACAAATTAAATAAAAACATGGTAAGTCAGACGGATACAACCGTAGACAGAGACTAGTCATAGACACATAGAATGACTCAAACTAAATAAAGAAAACCACAGCTATGACATTACCAGTAGACACCTATGAATACTCAATTGGAATCACGTGGTTTTTCACACTTTCTTAGTCTGCCGTTCACAATTTCGAGGCACGCTGCTTGAGAATCAATGATATATATCACGTGTTCCAACACAGAATAACAAATGAATTTCAAAGTGAATATCGCATATAAAACAAAACAATTGGCTGATTATCAAGATGACGCTAACACTTATTCCCTCACACAAGCTATTTAGACGTCCTTCATTCCACCAGACAAGCTATCTGGAAATCTCTCCTTCACACACGGTCTATCTGGACACCCCCAAGCTACCCGGACATCCATAATTGCCCAACACGTTCTATCTGTCATTCTCCCACTATCTGGACATATCTCATTCCCCGACACGCTTTGTCTGGACATCCCTCATTTCCACACGCGTCTTATCTGGACATCCCTCATTCATACACACGCCTTATCTGGACATCCCTCATACACGCTTACCTAGACATCCCTCATTCATACACATTCTATGTGGACATCCCTCATTCATACACATTCTACCTGTACATCCCTCATTCATACACATTCTACCTGTACATCCCATATCCATAACACGTTCTATGTGGACATCCCCCACCCCATACACGTTCTATCTGGACACCCCTCCCCCCTCCCCCCTACGCCTTAATTAAACATCCCTCATTCCCACACACGTTAAAGCTCAACACCTGATTTCTCCTCCCACTCCACCCCATGCCACTATTAACTACCGACCTTGTTTGTTCCTTAGTGAAAGTAACATTATGTACATCGCATAATATTAAATAATTATCAACATGACTTCCTTTTGTTGACATAAGATTGAATAGGTAATACTCGGTGAATCTACGTACTGTATTGTCACGACCACTAGATCAGTGTATCTACGCAATCAACAATTGTTCAACAGTACATAGGCCTACAGGCTACACTCACGTCTTCTGCATATTTACTACTTGAGACAAACAAACACGTACTAAACTTGTAACGCAATTCTGTTGGGATAATCGTTAGCATGATATGATTCGAATCCAAACGACTAGACACCGCTTCTTGTCTGACACCCCCCCCCCTTGAAACACTGACAGTAGGGAAAACAAACTAAGAATATCCCGAAAAACTTTCTAGGCCATATGGAAGTAAATTAATGTTCCATGTCAATACGAGTCTATAACGGTCTTAATCCGCCGTTATCTTGCGGTTAAGTTAAGTTACCTTTCTGGACAGTAGCACGTTTTTCGACAATCTTGTGCGCGTAATAAGGATTTTAAACATACATTATGCAAGAGCTAAATCTGTCTATTGCAGTCTTTCTTTAGGACTGAAATGTTATATAAACTATTAATTAGACATTACTTAACTTATACAAACCATAATCAACTCTCGATGTCATCTTATGTGTCAGACTTTTACTGGATTTGAATCCAATCTGCTGCTCAACGCTCATTGATGATTATATCCAAAATTGGATAATTGGATGTTTTTTTAGCATAACGACTTTAGTAGGCTTAAAATTCAAAAGCTAATATCTCGGTTCATAGTGGGGCAATTGGACTGAAACTTTCAACATCTTCTATGTACGTTATCTATTTTTTAACTATTATAGCGAGAACAGCCAACTTATTATCTAATTTGCCATAAAGTATCTTTAAACTAGTACGTTTGAAGTGCATTTTACTTTCATTATAAAACACTAACAGCTAACACAGACGTTTAAACATAGAAAAACAAATAATCGATTACGTGTTCTTAATTCCATTGTTGTATTGTATTTAAAATACATGCATTATAAATATTTAGGCCTTTGATCTTGTTGTTACCATGCATGGTTTCATCCTTGTTATTGTAATTTTGTCTATATATGTTGCTTCAAATTTTGTTATATTGTATTAGCTTGAAAACGTTGAGAGAATACTCTTCGAAACGTCGCCTAAATAAATCAGTAGCTGTTTTCCATAAGTATGTTTATAGTTTATTTATCTGCCCAGTTACTAAATGCCACTTAAAGAATATAAATTTGATGTTGTTGAAATATTCATAATTCATCTTTCACAATATCTCAGTTAAAATAATCCCATGAATACTGTTATATTACGTGTAATATTTAAAGGGACTATCCCTATTTGACCAGAGCCTCAAAAATAAAAGTCCGAGTACGTATGAAATTTAAGCGCAAAAATATAGATGAATGGTGAATTACCATGTCTCAAGATTTCAGCTCAAAATATTGAGTCGTTTGAACGTGAAAGCCAAAACTCCTCATCCGGACACGTAAACCTTTTAAGATTTCGGGTCAGTGTTTTCGTTGGGCGATCTGATAATCGATTCCCGTTCCTTGAGATGTCTATACAGTGGATGAATGATGTGCTGTACTTGATAATGAAAGGTAAATTTCAACCCTAACCCTAACATCGGATCTAGCCCCAAATGCTAACCCTTACCCTAACCTAAATCTCACCAACCATCACGTTCTCTAACCTTATTTACATCTCAGCGACCTTGACAAACATTGAGCTGGCCTTAACAAATAGACTTAGCTATACTTAACCGGTTAATATACTCATACGATCGTTAGTACGTAACTTAGTAGATAAATATAAGATTTAACATATCAAAAAAACAATTTAAAACAAACACGAACATACCGTAGTTTTCTTCTTTGGTTATGATATAAATAATTCGTCCATCTATAGTAACAAATAATCCATTATTATTCCCATACGAATGTTAAAACTAATGTCGCTACGACCTGATAGATGAGTATAATATTAAACTTTAATGACCCCGTCAACCAATTGTAAATAGGGGAAGACGGATCTTCACTGATTCGTTCAAAATACGTCATTAACTATAAGTATTGCAATTACGGAAATGAGATAGTATGTGTAAAGGGTCGATTGTACTTATAAGAGAGAGAGAGAGAGGGGTGTCAACGTGCACTTATAGGAGAGAAATGAAATGAAATGAAATGGGGTTTAACGTCCTACTGTTTTGCTCCGAAATGGGCTAATGAAGACGGACATACGCCATACAGTGTGCTATGAGGGAAATTTTGTCAAGGGATCATTTGCGTGCACGTCAATGTGTACACAGGACCTCGGTTTTTCGTCTCATCCGAATGACTAGACAGCTGTCCTTGTCAGGCCCTCCGTCCTGCATCAATGACAAGGGGGAACCACGCCGGAAAATCTGGATTAACTTTCTCGGCCTCCAGACTAGCGAGCCAGCGTCTTACCTACTTAGCCACCGTGACCCCCCTTATAACCCTTATAAGAGAGAGAGAGAGAGAGAGAGAGAGGGGGTCAACGTGCACACGCCACAAACTAGGTCATTTCGGGAATAATTCGCTTGCGGGTAGGTGTCTTTAGCAGTGGTG